TTTCTGAGCAGAAATGAAGGTCAGGAGAAGGCTTTTGCAACAAGAGTACCATTAAGAGAGCTGTTCTTCGCTTGTAACAACAGAAGGGCCAAGCAGAAACCCTGCCCTGTCAAGCCCATTAAAAGAAGTGTAGAAGACAATTTAGTGAGAAGATTCTTCAGGAAAATTTGGTAGGAGAGACTGCAGAGCCTCCTGCATCAAACAGAAAGAAGGACCATGAGGTCTAGTTAGAGTCCCATTTCCCCACGGCAATTCTGGCCGTCTCTGCTGTGGGGGAAAGAGTACTACCAGCTCTGCAAAAGGCAGGACTTGGGGGAGCATCTCCTCTGCTTCTGGTAACGTGAAACCTGGGGGAAGCATTGCAAATATTGCAGTACCTACAGAGATGGTCAAAACAAAGGTTTCTCCCCTATGCTTTGCTACTAATATGACAATGTAAGCACTTTTGCCTGCTCCATTTCTTCCCTCACCACGGCCCCGTGTAGTTAGACAGACAGGGTGCAAAGGGACATGTTAGGGACACTGGAGAAGTTTATCAAAGAATTAAAGTACTCGTTTCTCCTACAGTGTGTGGCTGTGATGGCAAACGGTTGGCAAGGGAGACAAGCCTGGCACAGAGAACTGGGCTAAAAAAAACGCACTAATGAATGAAATGAGCTATATCACTTTTTAAATACACATTAGGGGGAAAGCACCAGGAAAAAAAAAAGGCTTGCCAGTAGAAACCTTTTAGAGTGCTCTGTCCGAACCCAGACAGAATCTGCAAAGGAACAAACATTCACACAGAGACAGGATATAAACTTGGGCAATACACTGCTGGTATTTAACTTTCAGCTGGTAAAAACATTTCAGCTGCTTTCAGTTTCCTCAGGGAACTTCACCCATCAAAGGAACACAGCTATTTCACATAATTCTTAATTATCTCTAAAATAAATATCTTGCTTAGAGCTATTTCTAGTGGATTCTTTTTTAACCACATATTTATAATTTCCACTCTGAAATGTACAGTGAAAAGATGGAGCATCTGTGGACCACTAATTTTTATTGATTATTTCTTTATAAAATGATAAAGGCTTTTATCCTGAAATGCCTTTTACAGAATCTTGGATAGCTCCAGTGAGCACAACGCAAACAAACTGCTTTGCACCCAGAGTTGCCAACAGTCGCTACAGTTCAATGGATAATATTTCTACTTTTCAGACAGATTTACTTTGAGAAATTTAACTGGTAGCTAAGTAACAGTGAACAGAAAAGCCAGTGAAGAACAACCACATGTAAGCTTCAGTTGCCAGCCACACAAACCCAATCAACTCAATGTTGAAAGAAGTATTCTTGCAGGTCATTCAGTCTCCATTTACGAAGAAGCAAACCAACCCAACTGCCTGGGTTAATGCACTAAAGGAAAGTTAATGCACTAAATTGTGCATTTCCTACCGTGGTCACGGTACCTCTGCTCTTGGGTTATGACATGAACGACCAAAAGCAGAAAAGCAGGACGCCTTTCGGGTAGGATATCGGGAACGCTAGGCAACGTAAAGCCATTTCAAGCCTCAGTTCCCCGCCCCTTCGTCAAATCAACATGTCAACCCTAAATGAGGGTTGTAAATTCAGGCATGTTTACAAACATGAATTCAGGCATGTTTACAAACTTACTTCACCACTACTAGAGGTCGTGCCACATATCTCGTAAAGTAAAAGCTGATCACTCCTTCATCCTTCAGCAATCGCCATCCACCAGCAGAAAGCACTGAGCGAGACCAAGGACCCAAGTTCACACATTGCCAAGAACAACCTTCTTGAGATGGGTGGTTAGTTTTGCCTTGTCAGCACAACGGCTAAACTATTTGAGGTGGGGGGAAATAGGGAGGGTTAGTAAAAGAGATTATTGACCCTTTCCTGGCCAATCCCCCTGAGCTCGGGATGGCCAGCCAAACAGCAGCTGGAGCCTTCCACCAGCAGCGCAGGGACAGACAGCGACCTCCGACGCTTCCTGCAGCAGATGGAGAAAGCCCGTCAGGAGAGGAATGGGAACCTCTTCAAAACGGGAAGATAAGCTGAATATCAAGTTCAGAAACAATATGCCGGTTTGTGCTTAGCAGGCCTACTCGTACGCTTTAAGGCTGTGAGATCACGCACTAAAACTGAACAATAACGGTCACAGCAAGGAAAACTGCTAACACCTTGCACCTCTCAGAAACAAGTGTTAGCCAACTCAATCGCGTAACTCCCAGGATAACTTAACTGCGCTGCTTAGAGCAAAACCACTGCTGCTTTGCAGAACTGCATTTTAATCTCAAAGAACTAAGCAACTATGTCCTTGAGCTTTACAGAAAGCCAAAGATAAAAGCAAAAAAACCTCCCTGAATCTAAATAGTTTGGAGGTGGGGGAAAAAATGAAAGGTATTCATTAGAAACTTCATACAGATGCTTCATTCATTTTCAACACAAATGTTAGCTAGCGTCTCAAATGAATGGCAATAGTTCACATTACTCTTTTTTTTTTCAACAAGGTAGAGCAACAGTTACTTAAAGACGACAATCTGTACAGGAAGCTGCGTTGCCCATCAGTCGCTTCCAGATACCCTTCACGCTACTGTGAAGTTTTGGGTTGTTCTGGAGAAGCGGTAAGGGAAGACAGCTGGTCTCTGCTGAGCAGGAAAAATCACTGCAGGAATTAAGCAAACTAAGCTGTATTTTCCTCCAGTTATCACAGCATTTATAGCGTTATGATACTCAATGTAGGAGAAAGCAATTTTCATTCTAGTTCAACCTTCAAAGCAAAGATCTCCATGTCCTGAGGTCTCCATAGAGACAAATTGCCTTGCTGGGTCTCAAAATCGTCAGCAGGTTGGGTCTCCATACAAAATCTCCTCCAAAGAGGAAACAAAAACCCATCTGTTAAATTTTGGGTGGGATATTACAAAGTTGCTTTCAACATGAGAACTCTAATCTCCAAATAATAAGCATAATTTTGACAGTATAAATTATTATACTGAGAAGAACATGTGAAGACAGTCTTGCTCATAAAATGCTTCTGATACTAACATGTTAACAAAAAAGAGCAGGTATGAGAGAGAAAGACAGAGGTTATTGTATGAACAATTAAATGATTTCATTTAAAGCAGATCTGAAGAAAAAATATAGATAATGATAATTTTTTCAAACATCCAAGTTTTAATTCTAGCTTTGGCAATTCTGTTTGTTTGCTTAGAGGTTCCTAAACACCTGCTACGTATTATCATTGTGCTTTTCATTCAGAGGCATCAAATAAAATCTCAAATAGACCACTCTTCTGTCATATGAAAACTAACCTCAAAGTGATCAATGAAATCAGGAAAAATACAGATTTGAAAATGCTGTTTTGTTTCAAATGCATTTCTTCAATTACATTGGAAAGTGGATTTTCAAGGTAGACTTAAATCTAAATGTTATTGAGCCCTTATAAGCACAGGGATAAAAAGCCAGACAGATAAAAATACAGCTGGCTGTGGCATTATTTAAGAAGTCTTTACAAGGATCAAATTTAAAATGATGCACAGGCAGCAAGCTCTGGGACTTTTTAACTCTCTGAAGGCACTATCAATCCAAGGACAAAATTACCCTGAACTTCAGCAGAGACAGAAGATCCCACATCTGCCAGCTTGGCACACAGGCATATCTACCAGCATAAGCACAAAAGCAAAAACACAAGACTCCTGGTCTGTGTGTCATATTGCTTTCCAGGCTTTGATAAAAACCAAGGTGAGATGGAAGAACCTGTTGCCATTTTGAGAACGTACTTCATAAACCGGTCTTGGAAGTTGCTGATGAAAAAAAACCCAGCAAGGATGAGTTCCCTTTTGGTGACAGAGAAATTTTACAATTTCAAGTTGCTGCTGACTCCTGGCAGCTCCAGAACTAAGGACCTTACGCTGGTACAGTGACGGCTTTTGATGCAGAAGAACAATTTGGGAGAAAATTCAACTTACTACATTCTCAAAGGGATGCCTAAAGATTCCCACAGACATTTCTCTCTTTGTTTTTCCACCTATGACTGCTATTAACAGGCAGGCCACTGCTGGCAATTTTCTCTTTCAGCAGCTCACTTATTTTCAGAAGACATGAGTGATGCCCTCTCCAGAATCTGGCCCACGCAGTGGCATGTTGCCAGGTGCTGCCGACTCTAACCCAGTTGCCCGAGGAAGGGCAACTTCCTAGCAAAGTTAAGATTATTCCATATAATCCTAAAGGGTTTGCTATTTAAGGACTCAAAATACTGCATATAATTATAAAAGGATACACAAACTCTTCAGGGAAATCTGAAGCGTACACGTGTTACTAATTATCAAGGGAATTTCTAATAGAATTAGATGAGGCTCTCACTTGTAAAGACAAGAAAACAGTCCTCAAGTAATTCACGGAAAATGTTCATCCCAGAAGACTCATTAAAACAACCTCCAAAGACTGTGAGCAATTGAGAGGACAGACTTTTTTTGGTCTAGTTCCCTAAGGAACTGAGGCTGTGTAGAGCAATTAAAAATCCTACGAGGAAACCTGAGAGACTTCAGACTCCATAAAGACATGAACATTATAAATCCATCTCCCCAGAAATACTGAAGACTTGCACATTTTCTGTACTACCGAGGGATGTCTCGAATAAAAAAAATCACAAAAGGAAAGTGGTAACCTATTTTCATGTGTTAAAAAAAGAAAAGAGAAAAAGATTCAATAGCTGTCACAGCAGCATGCTTGTAACACGAGGAAAAATGTGTCCTGACACCTCTCTTCCCTGAGGCTTCCTGCCTCGTATATCCCTTAATCGATCCCTGGCTCTGTCTGGTTCATCTGAGGGTGCAGATCACGGAAATACACTGTGAGCTGTGGTGAAATGAGGCCAGCAGTACTGTCCTTGGTGTCTGCTGGAGAGGTAGAGCAGGGAAGAGGCAAGAGAGGGGGATGCAATCAATGAAAAGAGGAGACTTTGCAAACCTCGAGAGAGACTCCTCCTTCCAATAGCTCACCTGCAGCTGATGAAAAGCAGGTCTCTCCTGGAACACTAGCTGGTTTTCGGGATCCCTTCTTTTCTCACACAAGACACGAGAACATCCTACTCATGGCTGTCAACCAAGCATCTTGGTGGCACAGTTTAGTGGTCCAGTCTCACCTCCAAAGAGACTTTTGCTAATGCTCTAGTCTTAATCACGAACAAGAACCAGAATGACATGACTGGGGCTGGACTGAAACAGCGTTGCAACTGTAGGGCTGACATATTGAAAGAATAAAGACAGCCATAAGAACATCATGAACTGTCCAGAGTCATGTTTAACTGCATTCTGTTATATCCATATTCAACTCCCCCCGAATTCTCCCCTTAGTATTCCTACAAATGCATAACAACCCTCCTTAGCGTAAAACCACAATAATGTCTACTAACAAAATCGTAACAGTGTATAAAGCTACGTGAGAACAGATGGAACTAGAAATATAGTCAGTGACAACCAACTGCTAAAATCCTACAGCTCTAGTTAAAAACTGTGCTAAGGTCTGAACCAGAACCAAACTCCCACACACAAACCAGTGCAAAATAATTCATCATTACAGTATAAAAATAACAGCTACAAGCTCTGCTACTGGTCTAGCTGTGGGAAAGGCAAGAAAACAATTAAAACGCCCTTCGCCAGCAGTAGCAGATGACTAGGAAAAAAAGAGGAAAATCCAAGACCCCTTTTGCACAGGGGGTCTCGTTCTGGCAGACAGCTGGGATACAAAGCAGAGCAGACAGTGCTCAGCATCACAGGCCGGTGGAGCGCCACGTGTTGGAAGCAGCACGCTGATCCTTCTGCACCCAGGATCAGCTGGATGCTTCCAGCCACCATCGCACCGAGACTGGCAACAGCCTTCCTCCAAGAGCGACTGTCACCGCTCTGGCTGGGGAAGCAAAGACCGAATTAATGTCTCAGAAGTGTGGCATTAACGATCTTCTTTGGACGTGCTTGCCAGCTCTCTGGAGACAACGGGCGGGGGACACGACCCTCCTGCTGATCAGCAATTCCTGCATTCTATAATCAGAAACATATGACACCGCTTTCTAAGGAAGCTTTAAATAAAATCAGGGCTCATTTCAGTTAAGCAGAAAAATTCTTATTTAAGACAGAACCTTGGCACATGCAAACTTATTCTGGCCAGGTTTCTTAGCTTTGGCATTTCAGAGCTGTTTGTAAAAGAAGTCGCCTGAAAGAAGACATGTTAGATTTTCACAACAACAAAAAAAAATCTCATAGAGAGCTATCTATTTTACCCCTTAAGAATGACACAGCAGGAAACATTTCCATGCGTTGCACGCTGACGGATGAGTTTCAGAGGGAAGATGGCAAGCTCAAAAAGGCAAATAACGCAGGGCAATTATGTTGCTCAGCTTCTTCTGTAAAACCACCTAAAACTGACACATGGATGAACAAGTAAATGAGTGTTTGCTAATCTGTAAGATGACAAAAATTGTGTTAGCCTTTTAAATTACACCAGATACAACAGGGGAGTATAGTTAAAATAGGACACAGCATTAGCATTCATGCTATGGCAGGGCTAGATTTGGAAGAAAGTAAAGGTGTATTTTGGAAAAACTTTTCCTATTTAAGCCACACAAACAGTGCAATGAATCTTCTTGTTGTGCAATGCATGTACAGCTTTAAAATGTCTCAATAGGAAATATAAGGGCTAGAGTAGTTTTTAAGGAAACCAGCCCACTGCAATGTACTCATGTGACATCTCCAAACAGTCATGATCTATGTTCGCATGGAAAGTATCGTCTAGATTTCAACTGACAAACAGCAGGTACAATATCAAAGCATCTCTGGCTAAGAAATACAAAAGTCTGAACTACTAAGCTGATTTGGTTTTGTATTATCAAGGCATATTACCGTTCTTTCAATATTTAGTCTCTCTGGCTACCGCAGAAAGCAAATCAACGGAGCTGTTTGTTCGCTGTACACAACAGCAAATCCTACATTTTTTAGCATTTCCATTTTTAAATATGAAGTCATCGAAATTTAAATATTTACTGCTCCTGTTTAGCAATAGATCCTATTGCTAATCAACAACTCTGGCTACGTACATAATTACTGACAAAAAGACTTTTCTGGTAAATGGAAGGCAATCCTGGCTACTTAACTAGGAAGCTGTTCTTCAAAATCAACAAGAAAACTCATGCTACCAAATTTATGAGGTTACATCAGAAGCAATTATGATTTAAACAAAGACAGAGGACGTTAAAGAGTGAATGGGGACTGCAGGGTTTTCGAAATGCTTTATTAAACGCTGAAAGCCACCACCGACAAGCTGCCAAGAAGATATGAGTTTAAAAAACTGGCTGAGCGTGGAAGTGGACAGCCAGGTCTACAGCAATACAGCGATGAAAGAGGATGCCGGCAACATGCTGGAAGGCAAAGCTGGCATCCAGAGGGACCCCGGCCGCCCAGGGGAACAGCCAACAACAGCCTGACGAGGTCCAGCAAGGACAAAGGCAAAGTCCTGCCCCAGGACAGACACAACCCCTGCAAACGGACAGCCCAGGATGGGCCACATGGGGAGCAGAGGCAACAGGGCTTCCTGGTGGGCAGGAGAAGGCTTCAGGGAGGACCTAAGAGCAGCCCCCCAGCACCAACGAGGAGGTTAGCAAGAGGACACAGCAAGACTCTTTACGGATGGACATGAGATTGCGGTCATAACCTGAAAGGGGGAAGGCTCTGACTGGATATACAGACAAGGTTCACCACAAAGGTAATTGAGCACTGGAGCATCCAGTATATCACTTTAGGACAAGCTGGAAGATAAACTCGTGACTGGCAAAACTGAAGCCTGACAGAACGGATTGCAACGACAATGAAACCCCTTGAACAGCGGCACTTAATGCAGACAGATAGGATAGGGTCCTACCGCTGAAAAATTAATTTAGGTGACAGAAGATAGCAGACAGTATCCTCCTAGTTAGACTGACAAGGACTTTGATGGAAACAACCAAAAAACTTGGAGACTTAAAACAAGTCTCCAAAGCGCTGCTGTAGCTGAAGAGAAGATAGTCTTTGGACACCCAAGCATTCGTGAAAATGGACATTGATGACTTTGTCCAAGTTAGTTATACAACCTTCCAAAAAGTTCCTGAGATCTTGCAAAATGCGTGGGGAAGAATTACAGAATTACTAAAGGCCTATAAACAGACTGTATTTATTGTAAAAACGAATCTGTTTAAAAGTGACTTAACGACCACACGCTGAAGGCACCCGCAAGGGAAGAGGTTCAATAACTGACAGCCCCTTCTTCTAGTTGAAGGAGGCCCCCAAGGGTTGGAAGCTGAAGCTGCACTAATTCAGATCTCAAATAAGACCCAACTCTTACAGCAATGTTAATGGAACAACTTGAGCTCTTGAATTTTGCATTATTTTTAAACCTTGAAAAAAATACTGCTTTCCCAAAAGCTACAACTACACACTCAGATATAAACCACAGATTTAAGTGTACAAATTTTCAGAGGCTCCTTATGCAGGAAGAGATCAGAATCGTTCCTTGCAGCCCGATGTGTGATGGAAACACTCACTGTGGAACTGCTGTCCTAGAGTCAGTAGTAAGAACGCAATAGCTACGATACAACTGTCAGCGTGACTTCTTCCACAACCTGCAAGAAGGCGCTCATTTTTGATATCTTAATCCAGCCTAAGGAACTATACAAACTTCAGTTTTGCACTTTAAACAGCCAGAGGCAGGTTTCAGATTAGTCGTTAACCTCTCCGGCAGCCACGTTTAGTCTGGAACGTCAGCAAAAGCATCTCCGGCTTTGCAATGACCTCAATGAAATTTTTCTGCAGGAAAGCCACAAAAGCACGCTCGACGTACCTTTTTCTTGGCTGTTACAAGCCACTTACTCCTTGCTGTCAATAACCAAAGGCCTTTTCTTAAACCATCTGTTATACGCAGACATTTGTATATAGAACTACTGCTATGTAGATACACTTGCATATCTACCCATATATGGCTTGTGGGGGAGGTGGCTGTGTATGTGTGCATGCATGTGTATTACATGTACACTATTTGTGTACTGTATATACACACTATTTGTATACTTGCGTTCCGCATGTAAAAATGTCTCAGGAGAAATTCATAAAAACCCCCTTCTTAATCATAATGTGCATTAGAAGTATTTTCTTAAGAGACAGGACAGGCCCACAGCAGATTGGCTTCATAATGAAATGCTTATATGCTACGTACAACATCTGTACCCCAGAGAGACAAAAACTACCACAAGCTACGTTCATATCCTTTGAGGCTAATTGTAAAAGCAGCCATTTGTCTGCCTCACACAATTTATTCTCCCTAGACGGACCGGCATTATCTGCTTTGTTTTGATAATGCTTATCGGGAGAAATCCACCGCTACCTCAGCAACGCATGCCACTTTCAATGAAATACCACCAAACTCACTGAGCAATAAATACAGATAATCTCCAAAAAAACAAAGTTAACGTGGTAGAAAATAAACTTCAGAGAGGCTCAGTCTATTTAGAGTTTAATTTTAAAATGTTCTTTTCTGCATAAAATACTTCTAACTTAGAAGGTGGACAAAAAATACTCATTTCCCTTTAAAACGTCTTTCCACAACTGTTGCTATATGAAAAAGCTTCCAGGCTATCAGAGTAGCAGTGTGCATTCTGAACAGTCAGCTCTCTTTTTTTGAGGAGGGTGTGTTTTTAAAAGCCGTTAACGTTCTGCTTTTGTTAGTTTCCAAAGATTTCGGAATGAAGTTGGGAGATGCAGGACAGTGATTTCTTAGTGCTTCATTCTTTGGGAAGAAGACATTACTGTCAGGCTAGTGTGATGTATAACACAATTTATGAGCAGCACTGGTAAGCCTCACTAATCATAGTCTCAGAATTTCTGACACCATTCTTTGCCAAAATGATAAAATACAACCATAAAGAAAACCTCTTTTAGGGCAGGTCCCAACTGCATTTTTCCCTCCTTAAGCTAACAGTCTCATCCCAGCTCTGCGGACACTGAGAAGTATCACGCTAGCTACCAGATCTTACTGGAACAAAACACACATGGAGAGCTAACCTGATGCTTCCTCTTGAAAAAAATAGGGAAATTGGGGCACTGCCTGACTTTGCATTTTCAACGAACTCCTCAAATCAACATTTACCTGGATACTTTCTTTAGTCTTTAAGGCTAGCTTCAACAAAAGCATGGCAAGCGTAACTTTCATGTGCTTTAGGTAGTCATCCGTATCATGCGATGTGATGCAACTTTAGAGATCCACGTAAAGCAGAAGTTATTACTTTCGTTCACCTCTACGTCCACTCTCAATCTCAGCTAAGAGCTATACTTTCAAACTTCTTTATCAGTTAGACCACTAGTGAGTTCCATCTTTTGCTCTGTCCTGTCACACACTGAGCAGGATCAATAAAAATTACTTTAAAGAATGGAAAGCTTTCACTCCTGGTCTTCCAACGTGCCCACATTTCTTCTGGCTTAATAAAAGCATGCACCATGTCAGACTTGTGAAGAAAAAAGTACCATTTTGAAAGAGAGAGAGAGAGAGAGAGAGAGAGAGAGAGAGAAGGATGAGATTTCTTTGCAGGCCTCTAAGGTAGAGGCTATGTCACGTAACTGTGCCAAAACGTTCCCCTATCATTTGCTTTACACAGCATATACAGCTTCAGGGAAAATTTCAGAAAGAAGAAGCAGAAGGCTAGCTTTTCTGCAAAGATGGTTATATTACGGTCAACAATTCTAGCGTGTGGCGCATAACACTACTGTGTTAGGTTTATCTTTCCAGATAAAGCATATTTTGTTTGAATAACGGGTTGCTGATATACTGAGTCACTCTACTGCCTAAAGTATCAGCTCAAACGCTATAAAAGGATCGACTCACAACCACAGAGTACAGTTTGTGTATTTGTTTAGGAACAGGATGCTTTAAATAAACCACTGACTCACCTTGTCACGCAAATGATGCTCTGCAGCCTCAATATTCAAAGGATCGTCAAAATTCAAAAGATCCTGGAAGAGAACCAGAGAAAATTATAGTTTTTTTTCCCCGTACTGCTCACTGCATTATACAAGAAATACAAAGTATTTATGAACAATATAAGGAAACAAAGCAAAGAAGATCAGCAAGCGTAGCTCCATTTTCTCGCTACCTTCATAGATATCCTCGCCATAGGCAAACGCATATGAGCGTGGTGGCTGTAAACTGAACCACAAGTCAACTAAAGAACAACCCCACTCTTTGGTGTGCCCCTCACTCAGCCCCAGGGCTGCCCTGTGGCAGCGATGCATTTATATTTGAACATTGAGATATTTTCACATCAAATTTTGAGGAAACAATTCAAAGCCTCTGGAAACAGACATCCTGCTGATTTTTCTTTGATGCGCACCCATACAAAAAAGGTGAGACCTACAAGCTGCCTGGTGATAAGGGAGGAAGGATTTCCTTAATGCTGCCTCCACACAGCCAAGTCACTTTATTTCCTCTGCGAGGAAACTACCTAACCTGGAGCCTGATAGACAAGAAAGTTTTAGCGAAATGGGAAGAAAAAGGCCCAGAGAGAAGGAAAGGGAGCGCAAAGACCCCAAAGACATAAGGGCAGGTTGGGGGTGAAGAACAGAAGTAGTCAAAATAACTCTCAGGTCTATCACTTCGACCTCAATAAAGGTTAACTTTGGAAGGAGAAAGGGTCTAGCGTTAAAAACAAAGGAGAGCAAGATGCTGACGAAAGGTGGATCACCATAAAAATAAAAAAAAGATGAATCGTGAAGAAAAGCTATTCTGCCTGCAGCACAGGTCACTCTTCCTCAGTTTTATGTTAGTCTGCGACAGCAGGGAAGTGCCACCGTTTCACTAAACCCAGGAAACAAACCCACCCCATTCTCACTCCCTTTACCTTAAAGAACCTCCCCACGCCCCGCAAAGAATCTGCACGACCAGTATATACACATTTCTCTCCAGAAACAGTCTTAACGCCAGCTTTTCAAAGCCTCCTCATTTCTGGGCAGCTGGCTGTGGGGGAAACCCCAGAGGCAAGCTACGAAGCACGGCTCTTCCAGCACACGACGAATCCCTGCCGTCTCCCATGCGTGACCATCACTCTCTGCAGCTGCTTGCCCAAGAGATTATTTTTACACGCGGCTTGCCGCTGAAGGGACCTCTTTGTATCTCCAGCGGATCCCACTTGCTTTCAGTTATTTAACATGCAGCAGCAGACTCCACTGTGAAGGGCAATTACTCTTTGTCGAAAAGGCAAATGCTCTCCAATCTTCTCAATCAATTTACTAAAGAAGCCGTCTAAACAAATCAAGCCTTTTGATGCCAGGAAAGCTAGGAGGTTGCAGCTAGCCACAGGCTCCCTCTGCACGGGAGGTTTTAGAAAAGCCCAGGAGTCCCGGTGATAGCGCCCGGCAGGACAGTCGCTCCTCCGCCCCCGTTTCTGCAGGAGGGGGTCGAAGGAGGCCCCCAGCGATGCTCCGCCGTCAAAATTATTCAAAGTACACACTTTGTACTGTACACACTGCAGCAGCTCAGGCAGTTCCCACCGGAGTCAATGACAGGTCAAATCCTGGCAACAAAGCTAGTCAAGGCCTTTCTTTGCTTTCTCCTGAGCTTTCGCAGCAACAGTGCTGGAAGGGGACCAAAATCCCGGACTCCCTAAAAAAGGCAGCTCTTTAGTACAGTACAGTCTTGGCCTCTCTCTGCTTCTGGGGCGAAAGCAGCTTCCTGGCATCTCCTCCGTTTTCAAGCTGCTCCTGTAAGTTCGAGGCAGGGGTTTCTCGCTCCGGTGGATCTACGGAGATGGGAGGAAATGGGATTCCTGAAGGAAACCTTGCCATCTGGGCGGCAGCTCAGGGCTTCTGCAAATTCTGTGGGCGAATATCGAAGCCCTTGAACACGGATGCAAGTGTTCGAAAACAACAGAGAGGATTGCAGGGCAGTCATTCACTCCTGAGCCTCACTTTTAAAAGTCCTAATCCCAACAACTGCTTCTCAGAGTAATACAAGTTTTTAGTTCCTGGAAACCAGCTGGAGGAATTTCATGCGCATGGAAGATCCCAGGTAGCTTGTCACGAAAATATCCCATAACAGACTTGTAACCAAAAGTAAAAACAATGCATGAAAGGCATTACAGACCTTGTACAATCTTGCGGTTGTTCAAACAAAACCACAAACTGATTTTACACTGGGGCTCATGTGGCACCTGCAGAAGCCAAGGGACTGAATGGCCTTTACTGCAAGAGGCAACAGACTGGGTTCGCATTAGGTGATGCTGAAACCAAACCAGGCAGGGAAAAGGAAAGTGGATATGCAAATATATTCTCTTACTTACAGTAAATAAAGAGTTTAATCCCCAGACAACATCCTGCAAAGGAAAAGCACAGTCAGCTAGGCATGCATTCCAGGTATTTTGAACAACGTGACATCCTTATACTTCTATTAATCCATGAAATTACTGGAAAATCAAGTCTAGCTTGAGGGTTATGTTTTACTAGGTTAAACCGAGATACTGAAAAAGCTCCCCCATTTCATGGATGCCTGATACTTAAAAGTCACCAAAACCCAAATTCTGAATATTCAAATGCAAGCTCAGATTTTTTGTGTGCACAGGTGCCTTATTTCCGTTGCTTCTCCGCCCAAATAAAGAGATAATATCTTAGTATTTGCTACCAACTTAAAACTGTGGTCCTTAGTTCAACAGGTCAGTATAAAACTTAATTTAGCAATCAGTTCTTAAGACATTAAAACCATGTGTGGGCATATATCTGAAACTATGTCAAAGAGCAGAGAAAACAGATCTAGGTATAATATGAGTAGACAGATACCGTCCGTACAAGACTATATGTCTCAAATTATTACTTGCCTTTAAGCCTTTACATAGTTGAACAGAGAGGGCTTGCAATTCCTGCCAACAGGAAGCTTCAAGAGCAAACTGCCTCCAAACATTCCCTCAGTTGCTGTCATCAAATGCAACTTGTTTTGGGGTGGCATCTCCAAAAGAGTTCCCCTAGCACTGACCTCAGAGTCCACATCACGAGTTACAGGCTTCCGAGACTAAGAAAACGCACAGGACCCAACGGCTACAAAAAGACCGACCATCACCTCCTAACTGAAGTTTTTCTAACTAGAGGAAACATCATTTTTTTTAGTAGCAACGTAACTAAACTACCCTGCTGTAAAATCCCAGTGAAGAGTGCTCATGTGTCGGAGGCAATTTTGCAAGATTAGCATTGCACCACCACTGCCTTTGCAGCCCTCCAGCCCTCGACTGCCTACCAATAAAAACCACTTTCTGATTTCCACTAGTGCGAGAGATGCTGCACCATTACTTGTTTCATGGCTAAAACGTTCCTGTCACAATAAAGCCTCAAAGTAAAAACTTCCTCACCACGGCAAAGAAAATAATGGAACATAAACCGCGTTTTATCCATTTGTGAGATCCACGCCTAAAGAGCTTCAATAAACGAGTGCTTCCTTTTCTGGGCCCTCAAGCCAAAGTGCTGGACCACAACAGCACGTACCCCCCCCAACCATGCTATCCAGTTACGTCCGAATGAAAAAGGCACAATCGGCGTTATCCAGGCAACAGCCTCTTACAGTCCTATTTTCTCTTGATCTGGCGCAACCAACCTCCTTCCGTTCATCTACTTTCAATAACGCGATCCTGCCCAGTAAAGCCGACATTGTCCGACAGCGTTTCCAGAGTCAGAAGCATCTCCTAATGGAGCTTCCAAAATCATCACGTGTGGCAAAGACTGCAGCTCTTTCAGACGTACTCCTGGTCTTCAGTCGGAGCATAGAGACATAAATGACAAAAAAAGAATAGACCTACAGTACCTCAGAGTTATAGTTTTCCATCTGTTTTAAGATTATAGCGCTGAGCAGCAGCCCCTTTCCCAAATGGGCACGCTGGCAGTCCACCACGTTATTTTTGGGCCCGGACACTCCTTGGGAAGAGTGAGAGAATGGACTATTTCAAATAACGGATGAAAGCCATCCTTGCGTCCGTTATTTCACTTCTCTGTTCGTTGTTCAACTACAACTGCTGTCACACAAACCGGGCACAGCAGAGGTTAGCAAAATATAATATTAAGGAAACCTAAATCATACAACTTCTGGCTTAAACTCTTTGTACAGTGCAGAGCTGCTAGAAGAAAAATTAAGCCTGAGTCATTGATTAAATGAGGATTTCAGATGGACTTATACAAACAGCATGGCACGGCCCTCCTACAACGTAGGAACATGCAGGAAGTTGATATTCCTGCTCTCAGGAAACAGCACAGCACAGGCTGCCGCAGCATCGCTGCCCGTGGCATTTGCCCAGCTTCGTGCCCCTACGTACATAGCAGTCGCACCTCTGATAGCAGCACGATCCGTGGTGGATCGCCCCAGACAGCTGAAACTGCCACTGCCTCCTACCAGCTGCTCTGACCTCTGAAGGTGTGAAGTTCCTTCAAGGAACCTTCAAGGATGCATCGTCTTTCAGGGAGACAGAGTAAGTGTCGTGGGGATGATAAGAATTTTTTGTGTCTGATTTTAACCTGTCATGTGTTTCCCAGAGCGTTTGCTAATGGGACTTCACTAAAGCACGGTAATTTGCTCTCTTCCACTTGAAGAAGCAGAATAAATTAACTTTTTAAGGGTTGTCTTTCATCTGCATGCACAGTAGGCTGTGGCTGGTGAACATGCTGCAGGATTCCAGTCCAGGACGTTAGAAGATCCCAAAGAGGTGCAAGGAGCTCGCACTGGTGAACCAAGCTCTGTCCATTCCCGAAAGCTGCCTGAACGCCACCGTGGCATCCACAAGGCTGCAAACTGTTTACAACTTTCCAGCTACTAACCAGCGTAGCTAAAAACAAACAAAAAGAGCAACTCAATCACATTCTGAAATCCTCAACAGTTACCCTATCTTACGGGTCAGATGTCCTTTACACTTAATGGTGCTAAAGCCTCACGTTTCTCCAAACCTCTCCAACAGGACGCTTACAGATTTGTGTCTCCGAACAATATAGCTTCTGCTCCAACACAAGCAGGTATAAGCACTACCTTAAACGTGTAAATGCAGTATCTCAAAATATAAATGTGAATCATATCAAATCATTTTCCCACATCATTCCACCAAAACTCTCATTTGTTGGACCACGGTTTTAAGACTTTGGGACTCGCTACTTAATTCAAGCTGGCTTTGCACAGGGCTTTAACCAAAAAAAAAAAACAAACCCACAAGGCTAAGTTTTAAGAGCACTGTATATTTTCATAGACCATTCTGGAGACCAAAAAGTGTAAGAGTATTATTATTACTAATTCATGTGTGAAATTCCTAATACCCTTTCTGATCTGTTTCCACCTATTCAGGCTTTATGATTTGCTGGATTCGTTTTATATCCTTGCACAGTGCCATAAAAAATGCTGCTACATTAATACTACAATGGGACAATGGTTTTTGTAATGAGTTTGAGGCTAGCCTGGATTTAAATTTAGGAGATTGAGAAAGGGAGGTGGGATGGAACAGACGAGCCGCAGGGAATCCTGCTCTTCAAAATATTTGAGGAACATCAGGCTGCTGTACTGCAACAATAATCATTTTGTATTACTGATTTCAGCAGAGCTGTTTCTGCACGCAGATAAGCACTTGCCTGAACGCTTAACGTTTTCCTGCCTAACTAAAAGGATTTGCAAGCCACCAAAAAACAGTTACCGTCAGATTTATCCGTTCGAAAATGCTAAACTTCCGTTTTCTCTTAATGTAATAAAGCATCATCTTTGGTTATGGTTACCAAATTCCTGGCCTAAATACTTAGAAAGCAGACAAGTTAACCTTACGAATGAGAGTTTTTAAAGATTATCTTCAAACGACGGAGCAGGGCAGACGTTGCCTTAAAATGCATATAATCCACAACTTTATGTTGTTTCGCTCCTAGTAACGAAGGAAAGCAGCGCAGGCAGCTCAGGACGGGCCCCGTGGAAAAAAAGGCAGAGTTGCCCAAACCGCTTTAACTGGGGCCTGACCCAGCGGTGCCCAGGCGGGCCCTCTCCCCACCTCTCTGGTTTCCAGGCGGCTCGTATCAGCGCAGAGGTCATCCACGCGGTCCGACTCCTTTGCAAGCCAAGAGCGGGTCTCAGACAAGCAAGTGGTTTTAATCCCCCCTCCAACTACTATGTTAGTTCAGAGGATTCAAATATACTTTGGCTAAAGAGCCAGAGTCCCCAGGTGCAGTGGTGCTTGGTTAAGCCTGCAGGGTGCAAGCGAAAGGGCGTATAACGAAGCGAAAAAAGGCTCCGTTACGTGGCACTGCAACTGTGCTGAGCCCAAGCATGGCCAAGTCAACACAAGCAAGTCAGAAGATCGACAGGCTGTTATAAATAAACCTTGGTAGTCACCTCTTTTCCTTCTTGGGTATTTTCGTATTGAATTGGAGGGAAAAGTTGCATTAAACCCCTGCCAAACAGATTTGTTGATGGCATGCCAAAGGAGAAGAAAAATCTGCCGCTGCAGCAAAGGTTCAAGTTCAAGAGCAGTGAAACAAAATAGGAAAGGTAGCTTCTGCAAGAGCCTCTCCTGAGTCTAGAGCCTCTCAAAGCGTTGCATTGACTCGAGCTCCTAATTCAGTTAGTCCCCAAATCTCCCCAAGCGGCAGTTCTCACCACTGCTTTGCGGAAGTGATGCCATTGAAACCACGTCACCAACGCGTGTTTAGCTACGCTTTCGGATGTTTGAAAATATAGCTGCTCAGCATTTCTTTTGACAAGACAGTAAATATGCAGACTGCAAATTAAGACTTTTCTTTTACAGGCAAAGTATATTTAATAAGTTAATTTAAGGGAGAGAAAAGCCAGACAAAAGCAGCTAATGAGCTTCCAATCAAACAAACGTCTTTCAAGATTTAAGGGGCATTTCTGATCTAACAGACTAACTAAATTAAAGCTCGCTGGGAAAGCACATTAAAAATACAAACAATTTAACCCACTCAGATCAATGGAAGGAGAAACAGTCATGTATACGAACAGATGTCTCGGGCGACTTTTGAAAAACTGAAGTAGCAACTGTGGTAAAACAAATGCCCTGCTTTGTACATCACAGTTTGGAAAAAGACTTTAAATTGCACCTGAAAAGTCAGCTTACTGAAAGCGGGACTGCTGCACGACATGGGTGTCTCTTGAGGGCAGCTCTCTCCTACCTGCCTATGGATCAGCCTGCCACGGTTTTCCATGTCCATCCACCTTCTTCTGTCTTCTCCTACTAACAAGCATAGCTTCTTTCTCTAATCATCGCAGCCTAGAAAACCAAGCGTTCTTCACCCCACCCAGACCCAAACGCTCCAACTTACCCTAGGCTCTGGCAGACGACTTCTGCCTCCTCAACAT